TTTAAAGCCTTTTGCTGCTTTTTGATCATAAAATAACAGTTTTAATTTATTTCAATCAGAATGAAATATCACTATTTAACCGATATGTGCTGATGTTTTAGCGGAAACACTGCGTAATTTATGGATTTCTCATATTAAATTGATTACTGTTAAATTACAAATGATTTATTTTATAAACAGTGTTTTTATAAATATTAATTTGTTCTTTTACAGCGTGCGACCATAAACATTACAGTTTTACTGAATTAAAGTCGACTAAAGATGTTATTATTTCACTGATATGTGCTGATATTTTATGGAACCTGTGTAGATTAAAGATTTATGAGAGTAAATTAATTATAAACTACAGTTTTATGAAATTACAAATAATAACAAAACAATAAAGTGTTTTTACAAATAGTAATTTGTCCTTTTATAATGTAAAACTTACAGTTTTATTGTATTAAAGTCGACTAAAAATATCATTGTTATTATATGAAGCCTTCTGCTGCTTTTTGGTAATAAAATGATATTTTTAATGCATTTAAATCAGCAAAAAAATATTAGTTTACTGATATGTGCTGATGTTTTAGTGACAACAGTGTGTAGATTTATAATCATAAATTATTTCTAAACTGTAATTTTGTTAAATTACAAAAAAAAAAATTAATTAAGTGTTTTTAGTGTGTGATCATAGAATTCAAACAGTTTTATTGTATTAAAGTCGACTATAAACATCATTATTTGTAGATATTTTCTTGTATTTTTACTGAATGTTCTCGTATTTCCCTTTTTTTTCTTTTTACTTTTTTATAAACACGATAACCGACTTCCTGCCGTCGCCTCCGTCTTTCTCCGCTCTGGCGTTTCTCTGCTGCCTCTTTCTTTCTCTCTCTTTCTGTTGTTGCCGTCGTTTCATTAAAGCCCTGAAATCAATTTTCTCCCCCTTTATTATTTTTTTTCCCACAATCCCTCTGTGCCGAAGCCATTTCCTCTCCGGCCAATCAGCGCGTTTCCGTGCTGCGGGTTTTGATTTCTGCTGCTGCTGCTATCTGAACGTGCAGTTCTGCTCGTCTGATTGCTGAGCGGGAAAATCGATGCCGCGAACACGCGATCCGTCTCGCGTCGGGCCTCCGGCTGCCCTCCGATAGCAGCAGTTAGCCGCTGATAAAGCGCCGCCGGCTTCTACAGTCAACCGCTCTGCCACAAACAATAAAAACCAAAAAGTTTTGTGCAAAAATATAAAATAAAAAACAGCAATTATGACGCCGTTGAAGCTGCTCTGATCGATGTTTCACGTTAAAGTGCAGCAGAAGGATGTTTCCTGTCCTCAAACACACTCCGACAAACAGCGAGGACGGATCTGAACTCCATGTGGAGACGATGAAAACAAAATAAACGTCTGTGACGGAGGTTAAACGGCTCATTAAAGCACCACAGAAGAAGAAGAAGAAACTGCAACCAGTTGATTTATGGCGGAGATGACGACCAGTTTTTATTATTTTAACCAACTTAATATTGTTTTTCCACATCAAGCTGTTGCTGCATCGTCTCCTGTTTGTTATTTAGGACTTAAAGCTAAATTTTCTTGAATATTTTGACTGAATTTTGAGATTTTTACTTGTTTTCATGAAGGACGTTTTTGTATTTTCAGCCTCAAAAACACTAATTTTAAGGAAACTTTCATTTTTCCAGTGTTGGTAAAAACCTGCAGACACCTGGATCCATAGTTATACACGTTGGTTCAGGAGGTTTTGGTCTTTGTTCAAGAAATAATCAAAGAAATTTAGCTTTTGTTTTTAATTTTTTGCAGTGAAAAATGAGCCACAGTGAAGAAAAATTTGAGTTTTAATAATGAGCTGCAACGCTACCAATCAATCAATCAATGCTGCAACCAATCGATAATCAATTTAATCTTCAGACGTCTTTTTTTTTTGTTTAAGGAAAAGTTTAGCTCCCAAATATTCAGTTTAACGTGCCAAATGATAAATATTCTCTTTTGAGACGCTCAAATCTGCAAATATTTGGCATGTTTCTATATTTTCTTGGGTATATTTGTAAAATAAATAACATTGTTTGGTCTTATCCTAATATTTAAACCTTTTAGGTGAATTTACAGCATCTGTTGTTTTGAGATTTAAGTATTTTTGCTTGTAAATTATTATTAGATTTCTGAGTTCTCTGTGGAGCTGCAGGACTTTATGTTGCAGTGAAAAATGAACCACAGTCAAGAAAATGAGTAAAAATAACAGAAACTGCTTTATGTTTATTTTAGCATAATGCTAACCAAGTAAATGTGACTCACATGCTCAGGTTTAGCATTATAGCAAACTTTAGCATGCTATCACTCATTGAGGGGAATCTTTAGCATGCTAATGTTTTAGCATAGCGGTTAAGCTCTCTGTCCATTAGAACAAACTGGGTTAATTCACGAGTCATTATTAATCTTCGTGTCTCAGGCTGCTGAACCTGTCGCTGACCTCGGATCTGGTCCCGGAGCAGGACGTGATCGACGTCATCATCCACGTCGGCAGAAACCCGCAGGGTCGGAACCTGGCCTGGAAGTACTTCAGGGAAAAGTGGGACGTCCTGAACGCTCGGTGAGGCGCCGACGGTCTGCGGTCAGGTTTGATGCTGGGCTCAGACAGATGCTAACCGTTGTGTTTCTGTTCAGTTACGGCGAAGCCTTGTTCATGAACTCGAAGCTCATCAGCGGAGTCACCGAGTTCCTCAACACCGACAGGGAACTCAACGAGGTAAACACACAAACACACACTAACACATACGGTACTGAAGTTCTGCAGAGATTTTCTTGTCGGATTTGAGGTTAAATGGAGATAATTTGCTTCAGTGAGGACTAGCTTTAGCTTAATTCCAACAAACTCCACAGAAACAAACGCATTGTGTCGTTCATAGAAGTTCTTTCAAGTGTTTTACAGGCAAAAGTTTAAAAAAATACAAACTTCAAAAATAGAACCAACAAGTTGACCAAAGCACATTAAAACTGACTAAAAAAGCGGAAAAGAACAACAGATAAGATGTGATTTAGGGGTGAAAGTACAAACCTGAGACTCCCCACCAGGTAGTTTAAACTGTGGAAACCTCCTGGTGAGGACTCCAGGTGGTGAAAGTGTCTTGGGAGGGACCGTCGTATCGTCAGTTTCTGGTTGAGGCCATATGAGTTGGGGCTGAGAATAAATACCCGAGACTTCCCCACCGGGCAGTTTAAACTGAGGAATTCTCCTGAGGTAGGAGGTTTTTATTCTCACCTCCAAACCACACAGTTCAAGGCTCTTCAACAACCCCAAGCTTGCATGGATCGAGGTTTGACTAGTGATGAAACTGCCTGGGGAGATCTCAGAAGATCCCTCGGGTAGTTTTACCACCAGTCACACTTTGACTCGTGTCAGTTTCAGGAAGAGCTTTGAGTCATTTGTTTTGGGAATGAGAATGAATACCTGGTGCGCCCCCACCAGGCAGTTTGAACTAAGGAAGCCTACTGATGGAGAGTCTGTGGTATTTGATCTCAACCCACAAATTACACGGTTGAAGGTTCGTCAACAACCTGAAACTCACACTAATCAAGGAGTAGAACTGCCTGGTGAGGGATGTTGGGCTAACAGCCACTTAAAATGCCGTCCTGATAAAGTTCCCCGGGTAGTTTCACCACCACTACTGAGGAAGCCTCTTGATGGGGGGTCCCAGGTATTGGTTCGTAACCCTAAACCAGATGGTTTAAGGCTCAACAACAACCCCAAACTCACACTAACTGAGGATGTTCGTAAACCTGCCTGGTGAGGGCTCTTAGGACCATGCTATACCATCCACACCTCGACCCATGTGACTCACAGATTGTTGACAAGCCTTGAACCAGGTGATCCAGGTTGAGGATAAATACCTGGGACTCAACCACCAAAGGGCCGAAACATCTCCAAGAATTAAAAATAAGCCCAGTGGACCTCCGCTGCAGTGCTCACTGTGAGAATCTACACAAAACGATCACGATGGAGCTCTATAAAACCTGTAGGTCCTTCCTTTTAGAGGATATCTTCTGGTCCTGCTGAGTTCCATAAACGTGCCCAGACACGAGCAGAACTGGACAGAATTTGGGTTTTCTGTGCAAAAACTGAGACCGAAAGACCTTAAAACGAATGGCAGCCTGTAGCCGTGTTCTCTGCTCGCTGCTATCGTGTCAATATCCCAAATCTGTTGTTGATTATTCCTAGAAATAAATTATAAAATGTCACATTTCACAGCGGCGGCGGCGGTACTCGCTTCATTTGTCGTGATGAAAAGGTGCTTCGCCACGAGGAGAACCGAAACGAAGCTAAAAAGGGGTCGAGGGTGCGTTTCTAAATACGAATCCATCTCTTCATGTCTTTGTGACGAGTGTTTTGGGTTTTTTTTTTTACTCCCGTCGCCATGGTAACGCACGGCAGCCTCAGCGTGAGCCTCGCTGTCGGCGGAGACTCTGAATGGAACCATCACGACTGGAAATGGGACCCCTGAATGCAAAAAGAAAAAATAATTATAATGATAGTAAAAAAAAAAAAAGCAGCAGCAAATGAAGAGATTGATGATCCTTTTTATGTCGACTCCGTAAAAGTGTCTCGAGGTGACCGAGGAGAACGAGGAGCCGTGGGAGAGGAGGCGGCCGGACGGGAAAGCGAAAGCAAAAAGAAGTTAACGATATGAAGTGTAGTAAAGTGAGTGGAAGGGACCGCGCTCCGCTGAATCCATCAAACTCTCAACAACACCAAGTTCTCCTGGACTTTTAAACAACTGGAAGCTGAACGACTTTCCTCTGAGTTCCTCTCTGATAGCTTCACTTTCAAGCTGGAAACTTCGCCTCTAATTACGAACCTTTAGAACAACGCTTCTCTGTAGTTAACAAGTTTTTAAGACGCTTTAGCTTCAATAGCCGCATTGTCTCGGCTTCTTTTTAATTGTCTTCTAAAAGGAAAGTAATCAAGAGAAAAAAAATGTGCTGACTAATGTCCAAAAGTATGCGGACGCTTCTCCTAATTGGCTGCTTCAGAAACTGAAATTCAAAAGCTTTGAGAAGCGATAAGTATTTCCTTCCTGCTGGATCTTTTTCTGCACATTTTTAGACAAAAGTTGGTATCTAACTTTGTGGCAACAGTTTGGAAAGTAAAAAAAAAAACCCAAACCCTGAGAGCCCTGACCTCAACCCTGGAGGAAATCTCAGAGGATCGCCGGCTGTGATCCGGATTTATCACTGCTGGACCTCGCTAATGCTCTTGTGGCTGAACGGGAGCGAATTCCTGCAGCAAGTTGAGTTTCTGGTGGTAAAACCTCAAACCAGAGGAGTGGAGGATGTTCTTCCAGCACCTCAGAGGGGAAATATGCAGGATTTTGTGCATAACTATAGCAGAAGAACTGGTTTGACTGGTAGCTGGACGCACTGGCATCCTGACCGGAGACTGAAATCACATTTTCTCTGAGGGGTTTGTACTCCGAGCTTCTCTGTTCAATGTTTTGGCATCTGGTTGGTTCAATGTTAATGCATGTGAGTCCTTCCTGTTGAATCTGTTTCCTCTTTCTGCATTTATAAACAGACCGATTGTAATGTCATAACTAGCACCCCCCAAAAAAAACTAAGAATTGAATCACTTTACATTTGTTATTGACCTGTTTTTTTAGCACTTGCTCAACGTAAGCTTTTAGCGAGTGTCTGCTGCTGTTTTGAGCCTCTAAAAAAATATACCTACCGACACAACTGAACTGCATTCTCAGTTACGTTTTTAGCGTAATGTAAATTTATTTTGATGCTTGAGTTGCTTGGCTGAACTCACCGTGTTGTGGTTTACTTTTTAGGCGCCACAGCAAACTGGTAGGATTGAATGTAGCTCTGTTATTACCACGTCTCAACATACTCATGTAGCTGATATGACTCTTGTTCCCCATTTTAACATATTTCCACACTGCAAACATGATGGCCGGATTGGGATGTTAACGGTTAATAGTTAATTGGTTAATACATTGACAGATAAGGCAGAAAAAGAAGAAGGTTGTTCGTGTCAGAAATTCTACATTAGATTAACTGTAGTACCTGGTTGTGCCACCAGGTGGAGTCTTGTACTGTCAATGAGATGGAGTTACAGGTGTGTTTGTGACCGACCGGAGAGTTGATGAAAGTAGCTGCAAACATGTTGATGGAGTAGTCATCGAGAGGTGTCTAACTGCTGTCTGATTTAGCTAGCTAACTCATGCTAACAATGCTAAGCTAGGAGTTTCACTAAGATGGGCTGGGAGAGTGTTAGAAGGTAGGACGGAGAGGCTCCACCAGCTCCGAAAGACGGAGAAAACCTGCATATGCATGTCAGACAATGTATCACCTGTAGTACCTGGTTGTTCCACCAGGTGGAGCCTCTTCCTGTTTAATGCTGTAGAGACCAGAGGAGGCGTCACTCAGACTACAGTTCATGTTGGCAGCAGAGAGCATTGTGGGAGTTTAGCAGCAACAGGGCCATGACAGAGACTTATGTGGAGCTTAACACCTTCTGACCGTCTGTCTGAGACAATCAGCGAAGCTTTCTGTTGTCCTATTGGTCCATAAGACACCTGAATAGACAAAGAGTCGGGCTTCAGTTTGTTCTCAGTAAAGCCGATACCGATCACTGACCCTCAGGAATCTGTGAGTCTGACCAAATTAAACATGAAAACAAGCCGTTTTGCTCAACACATTGAGGATCTCCATCTTGGTTCCTTTCCTGTACCACTGGGGGGTGTAATAAACTCTTTTTATTTCCGTCTTTGTTTCCGGTGTTTTTCACATTTCTGATATTCTAACCACTTTTCCATCGTCTCTTTCTTCCCTCGATCCTTGTTGTTCCACTTCCCTCCTGTCCGCCACCGTTTCCCCGTTTTTTTCTCCCCTCAGTTGAAGGAGTTCATTCAGACCAGCGGCGTGGGGGCGGGGCCTGCGTTGCCGCGGGCGCTGGAGATCGTCGAGGGCAACGTGCGCTGGCACCGCCTCCACCGGCGGCAGTTCTACCAGTGGCTACGCAAGCCTCCGAGCCAAACCATCGGCTAACGCTGCGCCGGCTAGCCCGGGCGGAGCGGCTGCGGACTGACTGCTGAGCTAACGCAGCGCTAGCTAACAGACGCAGTCAGACAGAGTGAAACAAACTGAGTGAATGAGCAGAAAAACTGGTTTCGACCAGTCACTAAACTAGTTTCTTTACTGGTTTTGTTTTTAAAGAAACTTAATTTGAGACTTTATCTCTGACGGGGTTCTTTGTTATTTCCTCGCTGACGTGGTTTAACTGGTTTCTGTGCTGTGAAAAAGTAACGAGACAAACTCACTGAAGGCTAACAGTTAGCCTCAAATCTTCCCGATAACTTCAGCCATCACGAAGACTGACGACTTCTACAGAGAATCTGCTGCCGGGTGAACTTTAAAACACTGAGTTTAATCTGCTTGTTAAGTCTGATTTGACAGCATCTTCTGGATCAGAACGCTCCTTCAAGAGAGAGTTTAGCAAATGATCTGTGAACTAAAAAGCATCCATGGCAGCAGGTTTTCAGCTAACTGATGCTAATGTTGCTGCATGGTGTGAATTCTTAGCTGCAGAAAATTCCTAATTCTGAGCTTCATCTTTAAACTGAAACCTCAGCTGACCAGACAGAGATATGATTAATCTTTTCTGAAGCATTAAAACATCCTGAACATCAGGAGCCCGAAGGCTGTGGTGGTGGTACAATTAGGGTTTTTATGTTTTTAAATCTTAGCCATAAAGAATTTGGGATAATAAAAGGCAGTAAAATAACAATTGAACAGTTATTTTGGTCTTTGGTCTAAAAAAGAAGCCGCCAACAGAACTTCCAGATGGGTATGTATACCTTTATGTACCCAACGTTACGTCTTAACAAGCAGATTAAAACCAGACCAACAGCTTTGCACAACACAATCTAAACATAAAACGACGTAATCATGCAAAAGGTTCCCTGCAAAGCATGTTGTCGCCACCAGACAGCGTGTTTGATTCAGTTCTTTATCAAAGGCGTGGCTTTGTGGGGCTCCACTTCCAAAGACGGTGTTGACATCCGTCAACGTGACGGACGTATGTGGTGGTTTTTAGGGTTCCTTATTGGTTCTGAGTTTTCTGCACTCTTTATACATTTTGTTGATCCTTCTAACGGAGACGTTAGTTTTTCTGATGTTGGAGGAAGTTAAATCGACTTACAAGCAGCCGAAACCAACCGAGAAAACACCAGGAACCATTGTTAAGTCATATCTGTCATCTTCAGCATTTTCAGTGAAGCCTTCGCCGCCTCTTGGCTCAAACTCGTCGCCGACCAGAGACCCGGAACGGTTTAAACCGGACCTCCTCGTGTTCGCTACATTAAACCAGCCGGCGGTTAAAGGCAGATTTCCCCCGGCGGCGTGTCGATCACTGAACAGAGGCGTAATTAACAGAACACGGACTCCGTGTCCTCCGATCACAGAACTCATTCAGACTCATTAACTCTCCACAACACTCGAACCACTTCGGCTTTGTTTTCTCTTTTTCATGATCAAAAACCTGCGGCGGTTTGCAGAATATCAGTCGGTGTTTGAAAGGCTTTCGTTCGGGCCTCGCTTCAGAAATGTACTTGTGAATATAAAAGCTCACAACAACCTCAGAGAACCACAGATGTGAAAGAATAGCTGTTGACAAGACACGACGCGATCAATCAAAGGTTGAGCGGAGACTGAATTAATTAGAAATCTGGAAGTGAAAATGTTCAGAAAACCAAGTGAGTTTAAGTTCCAGCTTCCATGTTGTCATCTGAGGGACGTTTAGCTGCTGCACCGTCTATTAATTTTAATATTTTCTACTTGACACAACGTCGAAATAACAAGCGATTATGACACGAGAAAAGAAACGTGTGTTTTTAGTTGCACAAATGTTGTAAATCAAGATGGAGGAAAAGGTCATATTCTGGGTGGTTTCATGTCTGCCTTGAAATATGGAATTTTTAGCCATAACTACTCGTCCTCTGCACGCCGCAATTGTGGAAACTTACGATGGTACAAAGGACACGTTTTGCATTTACACTTACTTAACGGGATGGCGGAAAGCAAACAAAAATAGCGATTTCGCGCAGTTCTATCGGAGTTGCGACGGCTGAATCGCCAGCTGTTTACGGAATTTCTCAAAGAAAAAAATTCTCTGATTGCAGCTTCTGAAATGTGAATATTTCTCATTTCTTTCCTCCTTTAAAACTAAACGTTTGTCATTTTGGGTTTGGGGCAAAACTGATCGACATTTTCCACCGTTTTTGATGTTTTATAATCCAAACTAATCGATTAATCCAGAAAACGATCGACAAATTCATCACAAACAATCATCGGTTGCGGCCCTAATTGGTATTAATTAACCCCTTTTTGCAGTTGCAGATGCCTACGTAGACCTGCGTTCATATAACTTCCATTTTAAAGGTCAAAGGAACAAGGTCAATGGCTTTTTAAATGATAGAGAACACGTGTCATTAAAGTCTATTTATCTGTGAAAATGCAGGACACTGAATACGACATTTTCGCCAAAAAAAATTGACTTTTTTTTGTTGTTTTGGTATTGAATTAGTTAAATTTACACTTCTTGGTACACAAACATACTGCTGTTTAGGTTGATATCAAGCGCCCATGTTCTGCTCTTTGGGTTTCTCGTTTCCTTTAGAGTTTCATAAGATTTTTATGTGCCTGTAAAAAGATCTCAAATTTTACAGACCACACCAGCTCGTGTCTTTCTGGATCGACATCCTGCAAAAAACTGTTTCCTTTGTTTAAAAAAAAAAAAAAAGCCTATGTGACAGCGGGCTTTGGTTTAGGTTGGTGCCAATACATGCACCCAAACAGTGGATGCAGATGTCCAAACACTAGGGGGAGCTGCAGAAAGGGGTTAATTATATTATTACTACTTTACCTAAATTCAGTCCACCTTAAATCCTGTCAGTTGCTTTTCTAGCGACTCGCTAAAGACTAATTGAATAAAGTATCTGACAGACAGTTGAGAATCTTTTTCTTTTTAAAACCTGAGAGGAATCAGGAGACTCGCTGCAATCTTCAAATTACAACACCGACCAAAAACAAAGACTCAGCGGATCTCTGCGGTTTCACAAAAGCACAAAAACCAGAAAGTTGTTGGACGATCGGCCTCAGATGCTGGAAAAAAGATATTTTTTTAGCCAATCAATGGTTTAGAAAATCAATTAAGCCTTTAGTTTCCGGCCCCCGAAGGACAAAAACAACAACGAATTGGGGAAAAGAAAAAGGGCGACGACGCCCGGCTTAAAGAAATCTGTTCAGTGTTATTGTATGCAGACGATGTGGCTTTTTATATTCGCTAATGTTGGAGCTCGTCGGCGACGGTGGACTCTTGCAGCTTGTTTTAAAAGATTGACTTGGAGTTTTACCGTGTCGAACTGGCACGGATGTCGATTTTAAAGGGTTAATGCATCGACGAAACTCACAGCCCGATGGACCTGGGAAGGTTTGGGATTTTACCGATTGGAGATTCTTCGACGGACGCTGTGGATTTGAGGCGGATTATTGTTGTTACTATGGCATTTTGGATGGTTTGATCCTCGCACAGCGATGGATTTTAAATGACTGATTGTACCCTTGATGGATTTTAAAGTGGAACGCGACGGATCCTGTGACGGAAATCGACTCCGATGATTGGATTGTACAGTATAACGACTTCTGCAGCGGAGTCCGGCAGCATGACGGATTTAAATGACGCTGGCCAAACTGTGGATCCTGAAGAGGATTTCGATGCAACGCCGAGCCTGCTGCGTCGAACTCTCCGTCCCCGTTGACTTTTGGAAGTTGCTCCTCTTCTGTTAGATCCAGCTTTGATGTTAATAATTGAGCCATATATGAATTAATGGGCCTGCCTGCTTCTATACACAGTGTGTCCAGTGATATGTGTGTGTGTGTGAGTGTGTGTGTGTGATGAAGATGACGGCAGCAACGACCGATTAGAGTCACGGTAATTGGCGTTATTATAACGACGATCAGGACGGCGATGATGTGAAGAAGATAATTAGCATTACTATAATTATTCAGCATTCTGAACCTTTATTGTCCAGTCAGGGAAATTCGGTTTACGCACACACACACGAAAAAAAATAAAATAAAACAAAAAAAATCTGCCCCCATGTACAATAAACACTGTAAATTATACAAATGTGATATTTAAGATGAAAAATGTGGACGATGTTGGTGACGACGATGGTTTGGGACCAAAACCTCGAAGGAAACAGGAAGTTGCAGAGAAGACTTACATCCTATTTCCTGTTTACGCTGCTTTGGTTTCTTGTGTTTTCTGATTGGACGATATTAAAAAAAATGGTTCACCTTGTGTGTGGTTCAGTTTGTTTTATGTCTCAGCAGAACGTGGAGGGAACTTACGGCGCCGGAGGACTGTAAATCCACGTTAGAGGTTTTATCTAAAACCTCCATCGTGTCTGGAGCTCTTTCATTCTGTTCGTTAAAATGATTTTACTGAGATTTTGCTGCTCATTCCGTCACATTTAGGCCCAGATTTGTCAGACGTGGACCAGATTATGCAAAAGGGAGTCTTTAAAACACAGAAACCTTTATTCTATTTGTGTAAACGCAGAAAAAAAGGAAATTTCACCGTTTATTTTTGAATCATCTGAACCACATCACACAGCGTTGCAAATCAAAACCCGCTATATATACACACAGACAAACCGGGCCTTCTGGGCTAAAGTGTCCCTGACAGGCTTGAGGTTCTATAAAACACTGCTTCTGATTTGTCAAAGCTTCATTCTGCTTGTAAAAATGGAAAAAAGTGGATGTTTCATTGGGTTGTTTTGCGTCTGAAACCATCAGACCAGGTCCAGATTAAGGACCACCGTATGTAGACGGGCCAGATGTGGATTATGTTGTCGTACAGATGCTAAAGACGAGTTAAAACGGAGCTTCCGGCTTGTGAAAACCTTTTTCCTTTTGGGAAAATGCAAAGACATGTTCTAATCTGGACCATATTGCACCAGGTCCAGTTCTAGGATCCCTGTATG